CTCGAACAGGAGATCCTGCCATTTGTGACAACATGGACAGACCTTGAGGACACTATGCTAAGTGAAGTAAGTCAGACAGAGGAAGACAAATACTGTATGATCTCACTTATGCTTAGAATCTTAAAAAGCTGAACTCAGAAGCAGAGAGTAGAATGGAGGCTGCCAGGAGCTGGTGGGTGGGGAAGTGGGGAGGTGTTGGTCCAAGGGTATAAACTTCCAGCTATAGGAGGAACAAGTTCTCAGGATTTGATATCCATTATTGTGACTATAGTTAACAATACTGTATTGTCTACTTGAAAGTTGCTATGAGAGTAAATCCTCAATGTTCTCATCATAACCACCACCACAAAAAATGGGAATTATGTGAGGTGCAGGATGCGTTAGTTAACCTTGTTATGGTAAACTCTTAGTAGTATATACGCGTATGAAGTCATCACATTGTACCTTAAACATGACATGTACACAGGGCTACATGTCAATTACATCTCAATAAAGCTGGGGGGAAACATTTTTCCTAGTGCAGCGGTTCTCAACCTGTGGGTCGCGACCCCTGAAAATACATCCTGCATATCAGATATTTACATTACGAATCATAATAGTAGCAAAATTACAGTTATGAAGTAGCAACGAAAATAATTTTATGGTTGGAGGTCACCACAACATGAGGAACTGTATGAAAGGGTCGCGACATTAGGAAGGTTGAGAACCACTGCGTGGATAAGAGGGGGTCACTGTGCCTCGACTGCTTGTAAATGATGTGGCTTATGCTGAACCTCTGCTCTTCTGGAATCTGGGACATGTGGACAGAGGTGGCTGCACGACCAGCCCCTAAAAGTCTCGGGTGCTATTTCTCTAGTGGGATTCGGGCAGGAACGTCACAGGCAGGTGGCTACATTTTCGTTGCAGAAGGAGAGGGTTCTGCATAACTCCTCCCGGGAGGGAGAAAGCATGCGGAAGCCTCACAGGCTCCTCCCAACCCTGCCTGTCTTCTCCCCTACGATCCGCTGCGTATCCTACCACGTCGCTGTAGTACATCTCAGCCATGAACACACCGGTGAGTTCTCTCAGCAGGTCTCCTAATGGGGGAGTAAGCTTGGAGACCGCCAGCACAGCAGGCAATGTGACAGGTGCGCACTCAGCAGAGTACCTGGTGCACAGGAACCGATAACGGTGGCTTTTAGTGACTTAACATGTCTGTGCTGAGCCCTGGCTGGTGTGGCTCGGTTGGTTGAGTGTCATCCTGTGCACCGAATAGCTGCCAGTTCGATTCCCGGTCAGGGCATGTGCCCCGGTTATGGGCTCAATCCCCAGTAGGGGGAGTACAGGAGGCAGCCAATCAATGATTCTCTCTCACCATTGATGTTTCTATCTCTCTCCCTCTCCCTTCTTCTCGGAAATCAATAAAAATATATTAAAAAACAAAACAAAATAAAAGCAAACATCACACTGGCACTGTGTGTGCTGCCGACAGAGGGCGACTACGCAGTTGGGCCGCCTGGCATCACCAGGAGAGGGCTGTGGAGGGTGGGAGGCTCTAACCCACATACGGCTTTTGGGTTCCTGAGTTCTGGGTCCGTCAGCTCACAGCACAAAGGCAGCTTGTGCACAGCAAATGGGGCTGAGCTCAAACCTGCGGCCTGCAGATGCAGCTGGACACAAGCAGGGGACGAGGGGTGGCTCAGAGCTGCTCTGAGGAAGCAGGGAAATTGGCACCCTTGGCTCGAGGCGTACACTTTTCTTTAATGTCAAGGAGAGGGAAGGACAACCGCCTCAATGAAGGGATGGCAAACAAGAACACACTCAGGCGGAGAGAGTATTTCCAGAATTGCTTTCCAAGCCAGCTCTTACCTGAAATCCACAGGCTCATGGTGTTACAGATATCAGACTTGAATTCGTGTGTGTTGAGCCAGGACTGTGGGAAGCAGGAACTGAAGCTGGTGTACAGGCCTTTACTCAGAAGCGATGGCAACCTCTGGGAGCAAGCAGAGCTTAGGCAACATTCTGGACATTTCTAGACCCAGCAAAGAGCCCCTGACATCAGAAAGGACCTGTGATAAAATTCTCTACCTGATGCCCGGCCAGAGTGGCTCAGTGGTTGAGCGTCAACCCATGCACCAGGAGATCATGGTTCGAATCCTGGTCAGGGCACATGCCCAGGTTGTGGGCTCCATCCCCAGTATGGGGCATGCAGGAGGCAGCCGATCAATGATTCTCTCTCATCATTGATGTTTCTATCTCTTTCTCCCTCTCCCTTCCTCTCTCTGAAATTAATAAAAACATATTTTTTTAAAAATTCTCTACCTGACAGCATGCTGCCTTCCTGGTTATGAGTGGAGCAATTTCCACCTGCACTGCCCCACAGCCTGGTGAACTCCTTCCCCTACCTGGGAGCATGTCTCAAACATGCTATGCTGGTCATCAACCCTTCCACTAGCCCCTTCTGCAAGCAGCCAGACAGTAGTCCAGAAGGTGACAAGATACCCGTGACCCCCAGAAATGATACCACTCACTGGGGTTTTCCTATGCACAGGTGGTACTGTCATTTCTTACCTATGCTTGAGCTCAAATTACACATTTATATTTGGCTTTATTCATTTACATCCTATATAATAAAAGGCCAATGTGCAAATTGACTGAACGGTGGAACAACCGGTCACTATGACACTCACTGACCACCAGGGGGCAGATGCTCAATGCAGGAGCTGCCCCCTGGTGGTCAGTGTGCTCCCACAGGGGAAGCGCTGCTCAGCCAGAAGTCAGGCTCAGGGCTGGCGAGCGCAGCGGCGGTGGCGGGAGCCTCTCCTGCCTCTGTGGCAGCGCTAAGGATGTCTGGAGAGGGCCTAAGCCACCAGTCAGACATCCCCCGAGGGCTCCCAGACTGCGAGAGGGTGCAGGCTGGGCTGAGGGACCTCCCCCCTCCCTGAGTGCATGAATTTTGTGCACTGGGCCTCTAGTTATAACATAAGCACTTCTCCAAGTTATTATAAACCTCTTTGGGATTCTTTTCCCAAAAATAACTTTTATAGTATTACTGGAGGCCTGGGGCACGGATTCGTGCACCAGTGGGGTCCCTCAGCGTGGCCTGTGGGGGTCAGGCTGAAACTGGCAGTCTAACACTGCCTGCCACTCCTGCTCATCCCAACCCCACTGTACCTGCTGCTGCCACTGCTCGGTAGCCTCACTGCTGTTCTGCTGTGGTCTCAGGGCTGCGGCAGCCAGCTGTGAGCCCTGCATCTGGTACCTGGTCAGCTGAGCGGTGCTCCTGCTGTGGGAGCGCACCGACCATCAGGGGGCAGCTCCTGCATTGAGTGTCTGCCCCCTGGTGGTCAGTGCGCATCACAGCAACTGGTCAAGCGGTCAGCCGGTTGCTTAGGCTTTTATATATATAAATGCTGAGTGGCCATATCAAAATTACCTAAATATCCCCCATTGGTTTCTAAGATTTTGCATTACAAATTATGCTGAATAATAATTTTTATTTGTTAAACTATCTCACTGGCACATATTAGACAGTCAAAATTGCTGAATGAATGAATGCATGCATGAATAAAAGCCGCTTTTCCTGTATATTAAATATGTCTTCCAAAAGATGGTATGGTAATACTATTAATTATAGCAGCTCTGATATACTGGGGGCTTATCGTATGCTGGGAGATATGTCAGATGCCTTACAAATATCATCTCAGTTAACCCTTAGGACAAGTCAGTGAGAGGCATTACTGTCCCCATTTTATGGGTGATGAAACTGAGGCACAGAAAACCTAAGTGAATTGTTAAGTGGTCACTTAAATAGTTTAAATGCCTTACAGCACAATTCACTCCCCACTCATCCTGTCAGAGTGCCATTTCCCTATATCCTTTTTTTAAAAAAATATATTTTATTGATTTTTCACAGAGAGGAAGGGAGAGGGATAGACAGTCAGAAACATCGATGAGAGAGAAACATCGATTAGCTGCCTCCTGCACACCCCCCACTGGGGATGTGCCCGAAACCAAGGTACATGCCCTTGACTGGAATCAAACCCAGGACCCTTCAGTCCTCAGGCCGATGCTCTATCCACTGAGCCAAACCGATCAAGGGTCCCTATATCCTTTTAATCTATGCTCTCTAACAGGTGAAGAGGGTATGGAATTATTATTGTTTTAATTCCTATTTTTTATTATTGTTAAAGATGAACCTTTTCCCATTTGTATTTCTTCCCTGGTAAATTTCTACTTTATGTACTTTGTCCATTGGTCTGTGGGGTGTTTCATTTTTTTCTTATTGATTTATAAGAGGTTTTCATGTTGTGTGACATATATGGTACCAGTATCTTTGCATAGTTTCTCATTTGCCTTTTAACTTTGTAGTAACTTTTTAAAAATTTATGTAATTAAATCAGTTGATATTTTCCTTTATGATTATTTGGGGTCATACTTAAACAGTCCTCCCCCACCCCCAAATCAGGTAAATATTCACTCAGATTTTCTTCTAGCAATCCTTTTAGTATATATATACATACTAGAGGCCCAGTGCACGAATTCGTGCACGGGTGGGGTCCAGCTGGCCCGGCCCCAATCGGCGGATCAGGGCCATGCCTGTCAGGAGGAGGAGACAGCGGGAGGTTGGCTGGCCAGCCTGCCCTGATCAGGGCCGGGCTGGCTTTGTGGAGGGGCCTCGGGTGATTGGCAGGTGGGCCCTGCCCCTGATTGGGGTGGAGGGGGCCAATTGAGGGCGGGGCTAGCCGTGGGGAGGGGCTAGCCATGGGAAGGGGTCATGGGAGGTTGGCTGGCCAGCCCCACCCCTGATTAGTGTGTGTGGGGCCACTCCGGGGCGGAGCTGGATGGGGGGAGGGGCCATGGGCTGATCGGGTGGTGGGGGCTGATTAGGGGTGGGGCTGGCTGTGGAGAGGGGCTGCAGGAGTTTGGCCAGCTGATCCCACCCCTAAATGGGGTGGGGTGGCCGATCAGGGGCCAGTGGCCTGGGGGAGGGGCCATGTGTGGTTGGCCAGCCGGCCCTTCCTCTGATCAGAATGGGGGGGCCCATCAGAGGCAGGGTCTGCCTGGGGGACAGGCCACAGGCGGTTGGCCAGCGGC